GGGATCCAACTTTGTACCAGGATCCTGTGCTGGGATCTTGTGCTGGGATCCAATTTTGTATTAGGATCCTGTTTTGGGATTCAACTTTGTACCAGGATCCTGTGCTGGGATCCAGTTTTGTGTTGGGATCCTGTTCTGGGATCCAGCTCTGTGCCAGGATCTTGTGCCAGGATCTTGTGCCAGGATCCTGTGCCAGGATCCATCCTGGCATTAAGATCCTGCCCCGCTCCAAGGGACTGGAGCACACCGGGCACCCTGGGGTGACGACATGCAGGGGAGGGGACGTGCAGAAGGGGACATGCGGGGTCCGGGGGAACCCGGGGAGGGATCCAGGGRGATCCAGGGGGATCCAGGCATGCAGATGGTACCTGGGGATCTTAACAGCTGGACTCGTCGTGGTGGGACGGGTCGCAGAAGAAGCGGGAGCCCCGCTTGGCCGTGCGGGCAGTGAAGGGGACGCTCTTCAGCGCTGCGGGGGTACGGGCAGGGAACGGGAAGGGGACAGGGATATGTCAGCCCCCATAACCGGCTGAGCCAGGCCATGGAGGGGTCAGGGAGCCGAGGGGACCGTACCKGTGATGATGTCCTCGATGGTGCCATCCTTGCCCTCGTACATGGGCCGGTGGTCCTTGGCCTGGCGCCGCCGCAGCTCCGCGATCAGCTCCTGCTGCTGCCACTTGTTCCGCTGCGAGGGAGGCACAGGGGGGTCCGGGTGAGGGACACGGGGGTCCCCTCCATGCCCCCTCCTCCTCCCCAGCCCACCCCACTCACCTTCTCCTGCTTTTTAGCCTCCTGCGCCAGCAGCTTCTCCCGCATCACCTCCTCCTGCTTCTTGCGCGTCTCGTTTTCCTGCTCCGCGTCCTGCCAGGTGAGCACATCAGGTGTCCTAGGTTAGCTGAGTATTGTATTCCTATCATCTGCTTATGTTAGAGGAAAGTTAAACAACCCTTCTGGAACTATACATTAGTCGAGACTGCTCTGGTTTGTTTGGTGATGTTCCTCCCTTCAAGGACAATGGGAGGGAAAGGGACAAGACACACTTTTTTTTTTCCCTTCCGGGGAGGATCTCGGGATCAGCGGTGGAAAAGAAGCTGCCTGCTCTCTCTGGGACTGCTCCTTTTTTCTCCCTTTCTTTGGACTTGTTTTTTCCTTGAATTTTCTTTTTTCTTCATCATCTGAGAATTGGAGGATTTTCCCGTGGCACAACAGGTGAGAAAGATCCTCCAGTGAACCACCGGAGAGACTCTGTCCAACCCCTTTGGGGGCCCCGGAGGGGAAGCTACTCCCAGGAGGGAAGAGAAAGGCTTTGGGATCTAACAGCTGATTCCACAGGTTTTTTTTTCTTTTTGTTTCTATAATTTTAAATAAATAGTTTTTTTCCCTTTTCTTTTCACTTTTCCTCTCTGTGGAAAAGTTTGTCTCCGGGACCCGGGTGGGGAAAAGAGAGGGGGAGGAGGTTTGCTGGAACTTGGGAGTGTTTTGCTCCCATTAAAATCATTCAAACCACTACAACAGGTGAGGGGTGC